CAGTCTGCGGGTGGTACGGGGAGGTACGTACTTTCTTTGTACCCAACAGGTCGCACACCTCGCGCAACAAAATGCTCGAAAAAATTTTTCCTTGATCCGTCAGCAAGCGTTCGGGGGCGCCTTTGTCCAAAACATAACCTTGGACAAAGGCGTCCGCCACTGCCGCAGCCGACTGGTTGGCGAGTGGCCATGCCATGGGCCAGCGGGTGAAGTACTCTACGCCAACCAGCAGGAACTTATTTCCCCGAGGTGTAACGGGAAAGGGCCCCAAGATGTCTAGCGCGACCAATTCGTTCGTGCGCGAAATCTGAATGGATTGCAGCGGTGGATTAGCCGCTATTGGTGGTGGTTTTCTTTGGGCGCACCCTACACATCCCTTAAGAATGTTCGCCACGTCGTTGCCCATCCCCGGCCAATAGTAGTCTCGCTGAATGAGGGCGAGCGTTTTGTGAAACCCCAGGTGCATGAGTCATTCATGGGCAGCCAGGACGACCCTACCCCGCATAGCAAACGGCATCACGAGCACGTGACGCCGGGACATGTTGTCCCACCTCATCAAAAGGCCCTGTCTGCACACCCAGGAACCGACCCGCGTTTCCCCTCCCTCGGGATCGTCAACCTTCCGACGTAGCGTGAGTAGGGAGCTTTCGGTCATTTGCAGACGGCCCCACTCGATGAGAGGCAACGCTAACAGCGAGTCCCTCCCCGTGGGAGCGTCGACCCCCGTAGTATCCGTGGCGGCGAGCACCACTTCCGCGGGGACAGCGACAGAGGGTTTACACCGCGCCGATCCTAACAGACATGCGCATTCCGTACGCGGCGGCAACCGCGACAATGCATCCGCATTCGAGTGGCGCAACCCCTTGCGATAAATGGTCGTGAATTTGTAGTCCTGAAGGACCTCCAACCATCGGGACAATTGGCCGGATGGCTGCGCCACCCGCATAGCGTATTGGAGAGCCGCATGGTCCGTGCGAACCGTAAAATGACGGCCATAAAGATACGGCCTGAATTGCTGTATAAAAAACACAATCGCCAGCAATTCACGACGTGTCACGCAGTAGCGTTGTTCCGCGGGGGACAGAACCCTGCTACCGTAGGCGACCACCCGTTCGACCCCCCTGACCACCTGTGAGAGCACTCCCCCGATACCCGTGTTACTGGCATCCGTGTCGAGCACAAACGGTTGCGTGAAATCGGGGTAACACAAGGGGGGAGCCTGCACCAAGGCGTCACGAAGGGAGCAGAACGCGGCCTCCTCTTCCGACCCCCAGTGAAACCGCACCCCTTTAGCCGTCAAAGCGTGCAGGGGCCTGGCTATGGTGGCAAACTGCTTGACAAAACGACGGTAATAGGAGGCGAATCCTATGAAACTGCGGACTTCAGTGACAGAGGTCGGCGTTGGCCATGAGCTGACGCATTTCGTCTTAGCAGGGTCTGTCGAGATCCCTGAACGGCTAACGATATGGCCCAAATACCTGACCGATTCCCGAAGCAGAAAACATTTAGCCGGTTTAAATTTAAGCCTAGCGGAACGCATCCTGAGAAACACCGCTCTCAGTCGCTGGAGGTGCTCCTCAAAAGTCCGGCTGAAAACGATGATATCATCGAGGTAAATCAAACAGGTGTCCCATTGGAGGCCTGACAAAACCAATTCCATAAGCCTCTGGAACGTGGCAGGAGCGGAATGTAAACCCATGGGCAATCGGTTGAATTCAAATAGGCCTCCCGGTGTCCGGAAAGCAGTTTTTGGTTTCGATTCGTCATCGAGGGGTAATTGCCAAAATCCCGAAAGCAAATCGAGCGTCGAAAAAAACTGTGCTCCCGCCAAGGCATCCAGAGACTCATCCATCCTGGGGAGCGGATACGCATCGGCCATTGAGATTTTGTTTAGGCGGCGGAAATCGACACAGAACCGCAAGGACCCATCCTGTTTTTTAACCAAGACGATAGGAGCACCCCACGGACTGGAAGAGGGCGCAATGATGTCGGCCGCCAACATGTCATTAACTGCCGACTGCACATGCTCCTTCTCGGCTGGACTGAGCCGGAAGGGATTCTGTCGAATAGGGGCCGCGTCCCCAGTAGCTATGTGGTGGCGCAACAGGTCTGTGCAGCCAATATCATACTTGTGCCTGCTAAACACGTCAGCGAACTCGAGTAGCAAGCCCCTCAATGCACCCGACTGCACACTGGACAAGTTACTGGACCCGGCACACAACGAGTCCAACCACTCCGTCCCCTCCTCACTTTGAGGATGCGTATCGGCACTCGAATCGGCGTGAGCAACGAGCTGTTCCTCGACAGGTAGCGGCGCGGCGTGAGCCAGCACCGTTCCCTGCGTAATCACGGCCGGCCGCGACCCCGTATTCAGGACCATAACGAACGGCTCACTGTCCCGCCTCACCATGGTCTGGGCCACCGCTAAGTCGAGGCCCCCTTTAGCTCTGTTAGACGGCCCCAACAGAACTCCCTGTGCCCCCGCATCTGCCCCGAGGGGTTTCCTCAACCGAAGGGGTACCAACATTTGCGAACCCGGGGGCACCCGTACAGTCTGGGTTGCCAGCGCCTGCACCGTCGCACAAACCGTGCGTATCTTAGTAGGACTCTTCAAAAACTCAACCCGCCGTCCCGACGGAAGCTCAATGCAGGCCTGGTCTATGAGAATTTTGATGGGCATTTTAGACAGAAAGTCCGTGCCTAGTAAACAAGGAACGGCCAACGAAGATGATACAAAAATAGGACCCGCCAATTTTATATCGCCAATACAAATAGTCGCCCGAATCTGGCCGATGATTCCCAAAGATCCCCCGTTTGCCGCGTAAAACGGTACGTCCACCGGCAGAAGGGGTCGACATTGGACGGGAAGAATGTTATAAATAAGGTCCGAAATGATAGTGGCCGACGCACCCGTGTCCACAAGCACCCGGACCTCAACCCCGTCAATGTACCCCGTTACCACGGACGACCCGGCCGACGCAGCCACTATCCTGTGGGCCAATTCGGACCATTCGACTGCTTCCGGGCCGTGTACGGACCCCTCTCGCCGAACCGAACCCCCGGTGCCCATACGCGGTCCCCCCACCGCTAAGCGGCGACCCGAACGTGCCGTGCATGTGGACCGAACGTGTGAGGTGCCGCGACTTGCCGGGTTCAGCTGGGATGTCTTTAGGCCCTGGTCGTCGTCCGGACGTGGTCCCGCGGTATGCTGACGTGGGGCCCGGCACCCGGACGCGACGTGGCCCCGAAGGCCGCAGTTGTAGCAGACGACGAGGGACGTCGTAGGTTTCGGTTGCTCCAGCTTGCGGTGTGAACGTGTGGGCGAACGACCTCCCGTTCTCCACTCCCCCGGTCTTGAAACGGCGAAGGCCTCCTCCCGCGGCACAGCAGGCTGAGGGCCGATGATCGTGGCGGCCGGTGCCCCGTTTCCCACCGATGCGCAGACGACCGTCGGCTTTCGCTTTAGGACTTCGTAAGCGTGAATACTTGTGGCAATCCCCAGGGAGCAAATGTCCATCTCGTCCGCCATATTAATGGGAACTCCCAATCCGTGAGCCAACGCCAGCAGCTGCTCCGTCACCATAGCGTCCTTCCCCTCCTTGTCCATGCGGGGAAAAGCTGAGTCTGCCAGGGCGAGCAGCGCCGTGCGATAGGCGAGCGTTGTTTCTCCAACCACCTTCCGCCGATTGTAGAACTGGTGGCGACAGGTCGAGGGTGGCCCGAACACATTGGCCATCAGGTGTAGCGCGGCCTGGAGCGTTGAGCGGGACGACCTCGGGGCCGATGTGAAGGCTGCAAGCGCGTCGTCGTCGAGCATCGCTGGCAGCGCGCGCAGGGCAGTGGTGTCGGACCACCCCGACATTTCTTGATGCGCGACGAACCGTCGCTGGAAGGCTCCCCAGTCGCCCCCGTCCGCCTTGAACACCGACAGCGCGGGCAATCGTTGCTGGAGGACTCGATCGCCGTCGTCGTCGTTGGAACGATTTTCCCGCGCGCCGCTGTGGTTGTAGAAAATGTCGGCTCCGTCTGCAGGCGCATAATGGAGATCTCCGGCGCGCGCCGATGACGCGGGCTGCGCTGTGTGGAGATCTCTGGCCACGTGGTGTCCGCGCTTCCCGCCAAGCGGTGGCGGGCCCTCAAAAATGGCGCCAACTCCAAAACTTTTGGCGCGAAACGCCTTCTGGCGGGATCCCTCCAGCCGCGCCGCCTCCTCCAACCCCGCAGCCATCCCTCCGCCCGCTGGAACGGAGATTTCCGCCAAAATCGCAGCGGCGGCGAGCAGCAACTCCGCCAGGCGGGAGTGTGCGTCCTGCAGGCTGGTGTCGGAGGCAAGCGGAGCATCGGCCATTTCCGCGAAGTGCTGTATTGGCGGCAACTCCTCGTCCTCTCCTCCCGAGGTTGGTGTCTCCGGTACGCCGTCGTCTCCCCGATCTTGCACGTGGGTACGCGAAGTCTTCCTTGTGTCCATTCTTCTTGAAGACAGGTTTACTTCTGACGCCAGTTGTAAAGTAGTAACTCGGCGGGAGACGTCTTCACGGGTAGCACACTCTTTTTATTGACACCAAACTGTTACACGGGTGACTAACACTCACCCAGCCCCTTGGGTGACTAACACCCACTCAGCTCCGCGGGTGACTAACACCCACTTAGCTACTCGGGTGACTAACACCCACTCAGCTACTCGGGTGACTAACACCCACTCAGCTACACGGGTGACTAACACCCACTTAGCTACTCGGGTGACTAACACCCACTCAGCTACTCGGGTGACTAACACCCACTCAGCTACACGGGTGACTAACACCCACTTAGCTACTCGGGTGACTAACACCCACTCAGCTATACTGACACGGGCTCTTACGCCCCGTAGCCTTCCGGAACACACCCGGCTGGGGTGTCCGTCTCGGCTCTGGGTACCACCGTCCCGACCCACGCGGGCGTCGGACTACGGGTTCACTGCGCGCGCTGGCTACGATCCTCTTTTCCCCGATTGTATCAGCGCGCCTCACCACCGGCGTGCGCGTTCATACCACGCCCACATCGCGTGCCCAACCCCGCGCCCCGTGATCCATCACTGTCGGCGCACGTCAACACCACCACTACACCTCCAAGCAGTACCTTCAAACACTGCAGTTTTCGACCCAACTTCCGTGAAGCATGCCATTCACATCACGTCGCCCTAACCAAATCACTTTTGTTTCAAAACTTTGACGTGCCCTGGGCGTAACCCCCCCCCCACCCTACCTCCACCTGTGCGTGTGAGCGAGAAGGTGTTTACACGTTGTTGCATCATCACAACCGGTCGATAAACGCTGCTGCCAAGAAGAGGAACAACAACAACTCCGCCGCAGCCGTCGTCGTTGATTGTTGGGTCTTTAGAGTTGAAACGATCGGCCGCAAGGAATGTCTGACGCGCCGAATTTGCTCCGGGTAAGTGGAATGTGTTTTTCTCAACTAAGCTTGCATTTTTTTTATTACTACTAAATTCTGCCGAGCTATATATATCTATGCAGTATACAAGAGCCATTTTATCACGGGCGAGGTGGCCCTCACACGCGTGTTGATAGGCCCACCATCGAAGCGGCTCATATCATCGTCATTGAAACGTGGGCAATGCATCGTGGCAGCCGAATAATCTAAACGCGTTGTTGTTGTTGATAAATGTGTGAAGGGGGGGGGAAACCCGGGGATAGAACATGCAGACGCCACATACGCTATAGACAGAGTTCTCGTCAGAGTCGGGATCGAACCCTCCCCCCATGATCTCTTTTGTAACAATGGTAGAGAGATAAATAACGTCTCGGGCACCGCGGCACCCAATGCAGCCACTTGCAGCTGTGGATCGATATTCGCGCTTAACGTGAAAAGCACTTTTTCTTTTGAGAGCCACGTCCACGTGTACTTGAGAGTAATCTTCAAATTTTAATCTTGATTTGAAGCTTCTAATTTTAGTTTAGTTAAGAGGGCGTAGTTATTTAAGTGCGTAAGTCTTATCTTCCGCCTCATCCTTATACTCTTGAAAATAAGCCAATGCCCTGGAATTCTCTTTCAGTTAAAACAGAATGAACCTGACATTTAAACTTTTGTCGCGTCGTTGTCTTTACTAATTCCTGTCCGCGTCCTTTAAACTTTCACCATCCTCGCCCTTCCCCACCTCACCCTCCTCCCTTCCCCTACCACCACCCAGAGCCGGCCCAGCCACGAAGCGACCCTTGCAATTGCAAAGGGCCCCGTGGCCAGCAGAGGGCCCCCTAGAGTCACTGCTAGCGAGTGGGTGAAAAAAATCATACATCAAAGGGGCCTCCAACCAAATTTTGCTTAGGGCCCCCAAAGGTCTAGGGCCGGTTCTGCCACCACCCTTCCCCTACCACCACCCTTCCCCTACCACCACCCTTCCCCTCCTTGCCACGCCTTTCCACCTTCCCCAACACTCAAACCCCATTCCACTTTCGCCATAATCCAATAACCAATGTCAATGTACCATTTATAATTCTTGTAAAGTGCTTTCACAAAAAGCGCTCTAGAAAATCCTGGATAAGATAAGATTTTTTTTTATCGGTGTCAGACATTTGTGAGGGCACTTAAAGTTTTTTTGTTTAATGGGCTGCGCCACAAACTGTATACAAGTCATGCACACAAACCATATACACGCAACTATACGGTCGAGTTGGTAGATTTAGATGTAAAGCTTTCGTGACTGCAGGGATTCATCTTCTTGGTTCTTTCGGTAAAGTGACGTAGAAGGGAAATAATAAAATAATAAAAATTAAACATAATAAAATACAATTCTCACGACGTTTTGACCACAACGCAAGCAGCCGTCCTCAGGTGAAGAACAGGTCTGTCGGAAAGACAGCGTCGTGAGAATTGTATTTTATGATGTTTCATTTTTATTATTTTATAATTTCCCTTATACGTGACTTTACCGAAAGAACCAAGAAGATGAGTTGGTAGATGTTGCGGAGATGTGCCGTGCCGTGTGAGCGTGACGGTGCCGGGCGATCTCATTGGCCCCATTGGCGAGGGGGGCTGGGTCCCCCCCAAAAAAATAAACAAATCGGGGAGCCGGTGAAGAAGAATCTTTGGAGGGTGCTTCCGAATATCTGGGGACTTAATGCCAAATAAGCGTGTGAGTTTAACGCGTGGGCTTTCGCGACCGGTATTATTCATAATAAAGGTTTTTGGGTTAGAGCGTGAATACGCAATGAAGCGTACACCTTACAGATAATGAAATGTTTTCATACAAAAAAATTAAAATATCACATTTCAATCCCCACCAAAGACCGGCCCTCGGAATAGAACCGACCCATCGGGCTCTTTGCCCGGACCGGTGCCCCGACAGGGCCCCACTTGATGACAACAGAGGAGCGTAAAAATAAGCAACGAAGCGTACACATCAGAGGTCGTAAAATATACATTTTACACGCTTTTATTTAACTCACTCTGTCTATTGTTGTTGTATCTACAAATCTTGTAACTCGATTTTAACCCACTTCCCAATGTGGTATCGACTGCAAACTCGGTATACTTATGTCATACTGATGACAATACTATATTCTATCATAAAAAAATACAAAATATGTATTTTTTTACGTTATTTTTTATATGTTATGTTTCGGCTTGGGCTTAATTGTTCACGGTCAACTGACGTTGTCTCTAATTGATCACGGTCCCTTACGTTATGGCAAGCTTCGGGGCCACTTCCTGGAGTCACGGAGTTCTGCCATTACTAGTACATTTCATAAAAGCGTGTTTAAAAAAAAGTTTTTAAAATATTACTTATTTTTTACTCTGGTCACATGTGAAATTTCCTCACCAAAGACCGGCCCATCGGACGTATAAACGCTTGTTCATACGTCGAGGACAGCGGTACAGTGGTCATTGTTCAGCAGTGGGCAAGATCGTCGCTGATGATAAAGCACGTTTACCTAGTAAAGCCTACTAGTAGTGGTGTAGCAGTTAGCGGGCAGCACGACGAATCTGGCGCCCTGAGTTCGATTCCTGCTCACGGCCAACATCGGTGACGATTATCTGAACCGGTCCTGGGCCTCCCCTAGGTCGACTCAGTCTTAAATGAGTACCTGGTCCGGTGCGTAGAAACATCGCCACTGGAAAGACAAAGGCGGCCGGGCGTAGTGCTGGCCACCCACCCCCTCGTGTGCCGTTCTGGCCTTCGTAGGTGCTCGCTAACAGCACTTGCCCCTACAGTCTGTTCAGGCTCTACGGGGAATCTTTGTCTTCATGTTTTTTTTTTGTGTGGACATGCATGTGATTCAGGTGGTGTGCATCCTCATCGCTGTGTGTGTCCTCACGGAAGCGAAGTGCAATGACACCACGGAGTATGAAGACAACGGTCGATGTTGTGAGAAATGCCCACCAGGTAAACCAGTTCACTTCCCCACATCACATTCATTCGGAGCTGGGCACACTCCTCTGTCAACGGTCCTTGTTTGCACGTCTGCACTGCGGTCAATTCGAGTGTCTCGCTGTTGTGCGCCAGGTTTCTTCATGACGGAGAAGTGCTCAGAAGGATCAAAAGCGTCCACGTGTAAGAGTTGCACCGAGGAATCTTACAGTGACACGCACAGTACAGATGCTCAGTGTAAGTCATGCGACGTTTGCAATGAAGGTGAGCTCTCCAATGCACATACCCTATTTACAAAAACAATCTCTCCGCCCTCAGTTTTATCTCGAGATTAATGTCAATCCAGCGCAGTGCAAGGAAGTAGATACCACAGGGATACCCCTGAGATCCCAGAGAGTAATTGTTTGAACGCTGCCTGGCAGTCAGCCGGATTTATTTTATTTCATTATGTCACACAAACAATTAATATTACGCCCGAGAACAGGATGTTTTATTTGAGAAGCGTCCAGCCATTTCATTTCCTTCATGGCATTTCACCACGGGCTTTCAGAAACAAACAGACCCAGTATTGGTCTCCCTGTGTGTCAATGACCCACAGTACTAATTGTGCTGCCTGCGTAATGCGCGTCGTGGTGTTTATTGCTTCACTGGAAAGACATCCATCGCAGGAATGTGGCTGCTAAACTGACTCGCGCTACTTTGCCGCTACAAATCATTTCAGGTTTACAAACTCCGCGGGGAACACTTTTGCATCGTACAGTTTTTGTACGGTCACCTCGCGAGACTCAGCCGCACGGTCATAACTTTAAAAAACAATAGTTTCATCACGGTGAGAGGTACTCGTAAACACATAATGTCAGGAAAGGTACACTTCATTTTTTAAGCATCGCAAAGCTAGAAAGAGTTACTCAAGAAAAGTGACTTTCACCGGGTAACGAATTTTATATACAGTATATATAAAAAAAATATTCAGCTGAGTAGATTTACAGCAAAGTTGTTGTTGTGGTAAAACTGTTGTTATTTGTGGCCACAACACTTGAGGAGGAGTGGGGTCAAGGCAAGGGTAGTAGTGTATACCGTAATTTCGTACCTTATATCGTAGCTAAGAGAAAAAAAACTTAGAAAACAAGGGAGAAATGTCAAGAAATCTTTTATTGTAGATATAGTTTTGCTTTATTAATTTATTTTGTAGAAAGATACTTACACATTAAAAAAATAATCCGTAAATATATTTGACTCTTAGAAATATTGATTATAAACACTTAAAAATGTCATCCGTTATTCATGGTAAGTTGCAGTTTGAAAAAATAATCTTGCCTGCCGTTTCAGTTTTTGATAACTGGTGTAAATGATTGCATCCGCCTCTAAAGACAAGAGAGTAGAATGATTATCATAAATTAATGGCTTAAATTAATTTATCACCTTAGTTGGTACAAAAGGCCTACGAAAAAAATACCATACTTTCATACCTTACCATACCTGATGAAGAAGTATTGTACCGTGATATCGTACCGTACTCAAGAACCAAAAGTTCTGGCACTGTACCGTAATTCCGTATAGTACTGCCACCCTTGGCTCAAGGAGACGATGAATGAGAAAAGAGAGAGGAGTGGGAGAGGGAAGGGAGGCTCGGACAGAAGTCCCCGAGACAAAGAGGAAGGCACGGCTGATGATGTTCAACAGGAAGAGAGGAGGAGGAGCACCGGGCAGGAAGGGGAGCAGGAGGTGTAGAAGGAATGACCTGGCCAAGATGTTAGGGATGAGATAGCAATGATGATGATGATTATGCGAGGAGCGAAGAGAAGTGAGCAGCATGGAGGAGCGGCGTCTGTTTTCACAGTGGGCGGTCGTGGGGGGGGGAGGGAGAGGGGAGGGGTTCAGAGTGGGGGTGGCCACACAGAAGTCACGTGATGCACGGGAGGCTTGAGCTGATGTTACATGTGTACAGATGTGTAAAATCGTTGAAGCGCTGAGCTGTGTGCGGTTGTGATCAATGTGCTGCTTTTCTTTCAACTAGAGATTCGTAAGACAGAGGTGAAGCCCTGCACACCAACAAGTAATCGGGAGTGTGCTTGTGAAGATGGCACTCACGAATTTCACGACGGAGGGATAGAGATCTGCTGCAATAACTGTCCTGCTGGAGAAGCGTTGACAAGTGAATGTACGTTTTCCATGGAATTCCATGGCTATACAATTCATCAGTGAGCATAAATGCATCGTATTTGTGAACCCATGACGATAAAAACGAAAAGTAATTGCTGTATATAGGATACCTTCGGCGATAAGTTTTCTACTGCAAACGTCTTAGATGGAGATGAGTGTGTCTTGTGCAATGTGAGAACGCCAAAACGATGTCCATTACTGTATCTGGACTGCAGGTAAAATTGATAGACCTACAACTTGTACCCCATGTAATGACGGGACCTACAGCAACGGCATTGGGTAAGTTTGCCGTCTCCGTGGCTTCCACAACACATCTGTAAAGCGGGGAAATTGCACTCTTGTGGGACTGCAATTGATACAGCTGAGCCGGGCCATCACAGGGCCATGACAGTACGGGTGGTTTTCCACTGGCATATTACCGAGCCAAGCCAAACGCAAACGGTGCTACCTGAATTTGGCTGGGGCTGGGGTAGCGCCAATGCCGTGGTCATTGCTTGTAACATCAACACACCTGAATATGCTCAATACAATTTCGTCCAGCGAGTCGGGAGCCTTAAGGCGCCGGTGAAAAGTGTGCGTGAGAGTGTGTCAGTGTGTGGGGGGAGTGTGTTGTAGTTTAGTGGTTTGTGTGCTGCACTACGAAGCCCCACGATCCGAGTTCGGTCCCTGCTCACGGCCAACATTAGTGACAATTTTTTTGAACCGGTCCTTGGCCCTCCCTAGGTCGACTCAGCCTCAAATGAGTACCTGGTGCGAAGTGTAAACATTTCCACTTGGGAGACAAAGGCAGCCGGGCGTGGTGCTGGCCACCGACCCCCTTGTGTGCCATGTTGGCCTTCATAGGTGCTTGGGAACAGCACTTGCGCCAACATAGTATAGGATTTTTGGGTTAGATTGCGTAAATATTTATGCGTAACTATTTACGCGATCTAACCCAAAAAACCTATATTATGGATGCAATTGGTCGCGAAAGCGTACATGTTAAACTGACTTGGTCCAACAGTCTGTTAAGACTATACGGGGGATCTTTGTCTTCGTGCATGTACCAGTGTATCTGTGCGTGTGAGTGCATTGTGCTTGTCGGTGTACGAGTGTGTCTCTAAGGTCACCAAAACTAAGCACCTGCCTTGGTATTTTGTGCCATCAAACACTCACCTTCTCAACTGCCCATTGGTGATGGGGCAGTTGTGAAGAGAGTGGAGAGTTTTCCATACCTGAGCAGTGTGCTTATGACTAGCTCTGGTTTGTCAACAGAGGTCTCACTCCGAATCAGTCGAGCGGCATTATCTTTCCATCAGCTGCGTAATGCTGTGTGGAAGCTACCTGGTCGCTCCACACGAAGATGCGGGTCTTCTCGGCCACGGTCATGTCCTCCCTTTATGCTTGCAAAACGTGGACCCCCCCCCCCCCCGTAATGGAACATCTTCACCGGTTAAATACATTTAGGCTGGCCTGCCTATGTTCAATCTTGGGTATAACCAGGCTGGATTGTGTGAGCTCACAAATCCTTGAAAGATCTAGACAAAGTCCCATTGGTGAGCTCCTCAGGCAGGCAATGCTGCATGGACTGGGTTATGGGGCCTAAATGCCCAGCCACCACATTCCTAAACAGCTTTAGTTCGGTCGGATCGAGGGGGCTAGAGAAGAGATGAGATGATGTGGTCAAGGAAGATGTGGAGCTGAGTGGATTTGCCGATTACTGGTACCAGCGGTGTCAAGATCGGTCTATGTGGAGGAGGCTCGTGAAGGATGCTACTTGGCATTTGGAGGCAGTCGCCCTCCAGCAACAACGGAGCGACGCTCACAACAACGAGCGGAGCGCCAGGCGGCTAAAACACAGCAAGTTAGCACAGTAGGGGGCACAGGTGGTGCATGGGCCAGACATCTCAGTCACTCAACCCATGGCACCTGGGTCTGTCCCGTGCCAGCGGGAGTTGGACACTTCACGTGGCCTTAACGTGCACTTAGCCTGGCACAAGCGTCTTGGACAGCTTTATTTTCCACTGCGAGCGTTGGCGGTGTGCAACTTGGCACGTGGCCTCGGGACGTCAACACAAATCGCCGCAGCCGCCGTCGTCTCACGGAACGCACCCTTGTGCGGAGTTGCTCTGAAGTTCTAACCGAACGATGTGCGTTTGTGTCAAGATGTAATGACGGCGACAAGATATCGGCACCTCGCACGACGACGAGCGACACAGAGAGCGGGACGTACGAGGGTGAGTGAATTCATGAATGAGAGAGATGTATTTACAACTTCGGTTGAGTGTTATAAAAATATATTTTGTCAGCAAATATAATGCTGCATTTGAGATGAATACAATAGAACCAACGACAATCACGGTACGACAATGTTTTGAGAAAAAAAACAGACGATACGATGCGATTATCACGGATATTATATCCTAGTATCGGCATATCACGGCAACTCCCATATATACAAGGTGTTTGAAAACAATGGACACAATTTCAAAGCAGTATATTTCACGATGGCAACATGTTACAATTACACAAAAGTCACAAACGCTTTAATGAGTTATCAGGTTTAATTAACCATTTTATAAATGTTCTATGTACCCTCCACCTGCTGTACGGACAACATCGAGACGATAGTTGAATTCGTCCCAAACGCCTCTCTTCTCACGTTTTCCTCTGAGGTGCGTGGTGGTCGCCCTGTGCTCTTCCCCTTACATCAACAGCCCGTTTCCTCAAAGTGTCGGTACCAACGACGAATGCTCTTTGACATTGGCGGATTAATGCAAAAACGCCGTTGAAATGCACGCTGCACCGCAATTACAGATTCAGTTTTGCTGAACTGCAGAACGCAAAACGCCTTCTGTTGCGGGGTCACCATCTTGCGAATGACTGAGGCTCGGGGCTGTACATGCGCTGGGAGAGGCATCTAGCGGTGAGCATTAGAAACTCTATGCCCCGCCCTTTCAAGTGGTAAGAGTTTCATTCATGGACGGTTCATGGTTGCAGAGATGTAGCGATTTCAAATCGGGTCCATCTTTTTCAAACACCCTGTATATACGTACAGTACTGAACGACTGCGCCGATCATCGTCACCACTGCCCTGAGCGACACCAACCTAGAGGATAGCAGCCTCACGACGTCTTGGGGCAGCGTCTCTGTCCTTACGAGCAGACGCGTTTGAGAAGCCACGCAGCCTGTTACTCTGAGGCGGCTTTGGTCGAGACTCTGTTGATGTTTGTGTTATTCCGTACCCGCACACCGCCCATGCGGTCGCCGATTGGCATACCTGTCAACTCCTGATTACCTTACCTTATTACAGACTAATTTAGACCTTATTGGTCACCCCGTGCCAATTATAAATCTCAACGTTCATCCTATACACTTCACTATACACTACACTATACACTACACTACTAAATACCTGTTAACCCCTTATCAGTGCCCTACCTTATTACAAACTATTTGAGACCTTATTGGTCACCCCGTGCCAATTATAAATCTCAACGTTCATCCTACAAAGTCCAATCACAAGGGAGAAACACAAACAAATAGACATAAAAATGTTTTACTCAATTTGCCATGTACAGTAATACGGGTAAATCGTGTGGGTTGACATGGGAGAGATTGGGGTTTTCTGAGTACTCGTCAGAGGGTGCTCACGAGAGCTGCCCGTTACATATGATTTTGGTTTACTCCAGATGCAGCAGCAGCATCAGCTGTAAACGCCTGTTTTCGTTGCTGTGTTGTCCATACTTGTAATAGCTAAATTATGAATACTCAAAAACTGCATCCGATGTTTGTGTGTTTTTCCTGAAGGCATTTTCATCATAATCGTCATATCGATGACGATAATAGTGATCTTTTTCGTATGTATATGCTGCTTGAACACACACCATTCGAGTGTGGTAAGACAGATGCGACGTTTCATGCAGTGCACGATTCATGCCCTGTCACACACATTCATTGTTAACCCATGAACAACAACGATGCCATTTCTCCCTTCGGCCCGGGCTTGATTCCCGGTGGTCAGGCAACACGTGTTTCCCACACCTACGATTAGCACGGATTGCTGCGTTACGGAAGTTCAACATACAATACATACATCTCTACTGCTTATGTTACGTTAAAGGACCTGTGCTTTTTCTTAATAATTTTTTTTTTTACTTTTTTAAAAATACGCTGTAATGAAATGTACTAGTAATGGCAGAACTCCACGACTCCAGGAAGTTGCCCCGAAGCTTGCCATAACGTAAGGGACCGTGGCCAATTACAGCCAATGCCAGTTGAGCGTGGACATTTAGACCGAAGCCGAAACATAACATATAAAAAATGTTGAAAAATATATATTTTTAATTTTTAATGATAGAATATAGTATTGTCATCAGTATAACATAAGTATACCAAGTTTGTAGTCCATACCACATTGGGAAGTGGGTTAAAATTGAGTTACAAGATTTGAGGATACAACAACAACAGAGTGAGTTAAATAAAAAGCGTGTAAAAAATACATTATTGGCGGTCGGTCAAAATGGCGATGTACCGGTTGATCCATTTCCAGATACCCCACAGCCCACTGCACCTCGTGCCGCGTGAGGTTGGCTACGCGAGGCAATTCGTCACCTCACGTGACCCCACCGGGTGTTTCACTTCAGGGATTACACGGCATGCACCCCCGATTAGCACAGTTGGCTACGTACGGTGCAAAAGAAGTTCAACATACGTACTGTACATGTAGCACTCCTATGCTCGGTAAAACCACAGGACATGGAAGGCTCTAAGGAAATCTCACTTGCTATGTTGGACAATGTGGATCAGGAGAATGGTAAACAATATTTACTAAGTCACGCATTTGATGGGAGACATTCAGAGACGTGGAATTCAAATGTTCCCTGATGTCTACACATTAGTTTAACGGGGTATCTGGGAATGGATCACTCGCCCTATGACGCAAGTAGTCGTTGCTGCAAGGTAAAAAATACGAAGAGCTACCACGGAACACATCAAGTGCCACGGTTCATCTTTACCCAGTGCAGAATCCATGAAGTTGCTGTGAACTTATTTTCTACGCATTTCGTCCCAAAGTTGCATGTTTACTGGGTTGTCGCTTTTTTGTGAATGATGTTACAGCATGTGGTAAGAAAAGGGTAACTTAACTGTTTTCTATAAATTTTAATGCTACGACCGTGAAACGTTATTTAGAGGGCATCATGGGCCAATTCCTTAAATACGGTATTTGTTATTGAGTGGATTAGCAACAGTATTGTGTAATGCCTGCATTATTTATAGCTAAGTGATTCCCAGTTACCGTTAACATTCAACCTATACAGCATAAAAGTGCCTTAGTCTGGCTGTGTGAGCTTCAGATATTAAGATTTAACCCTGAGAATAATATTGTCCACTGTGAATTTGCATCACAGTGTCAATACCAATCTGGTAACAGTCATTCTCATTGATATGGATAACACTTGTTTCAAAGTATCCAAACGTACATAGTTTTTGTTGTTGTCTATTAAATGTGTTTTGTTTTCACTTTTCTTATAGGATCCACTGCACAACGAAGTAAGGAAACGCATCTAGACCAATCCCTGGTTGGAGGTCGAAGGCCCCCCCGGACCATTGTTCACGATGAGAGGCCGGGGGAAGAGATCAAGACACCCCTCGTTCGACTGGATATTCAAAGTTTTGCTCACTTGCTAGCTTTTAGCGTTTCGTTTTTTGTACATCCCTCCCCCTCCCTCCGATTAGCACGGTTGGCTATGTACAACATGCATACGTACGTACATAGCGAGAGCAAATGCATCACAGTAAAACGTACCGAAGACACGCGTGTAATCCTGAATTGTAATGTATTATCACGGCGAAGGCACATCTGTGCGTTATCATTCTACGCAACGTCGTCATCGTCCTACGCGCCCTCAAGACTCGGCCACACCTGACAGGTCACCGGCTGCATCAGCCACCTCTGGCTGCCGTGCTGTCGTCAGGTCAAGCTGCTGCTGTTATGCACTTGAGACGGTGTGCGAGTGACGACTTCACATCCAACGGCACAGAAGATCCTCGTTAGACGCCTGCCGTTGTCAACTCCTCGACGAGAGCGCGAGAGAGACCATCTGCTACAGACTGTGTGACTGACATAAATTCGAGTTCAATGATTATCACTACCCGATCCTAATTAGCCCTATCCATCACGATGCTCTCATCACGTATTATATTGACAATCACCAAAATGTCGAACAACGGATCTCAAATGCTACGGTGTCAATGGGTATTCTGAATTTGGTATATCGATAATTACATACACAAAATATTAACCGGGCTTCACATGATCATCATTTTACGGACTCGGTGATACCTTATTAACCCTAATTCTGAGTTTATCCATTGATTAGATTGTTTTAATTTGTATGTATGTTGATCTTTCACACCGTATATAGCCAACCGTGCTCATCGGAGGTGTGGTGGATGTGTAGTGTCGTCTGTGCTTGCGGGTGGCGTGCGTCGCACACACAGTCAGCCGGAGACGAGTAGGTCGCAGGAGGCACCGCTTTGCCCTTTTATTGTTGCCACGCTCATGCCACCACTCGGGCCCCTTCTCTCGTACATGATCCCGCTGCCGCACGACCCGTCCCAGACATGACCCTGTCCGCGTTGCACCGATGGCGTCGACCAGGACAGCCAACTACTGTCCGGCCGCGCAATGATCGGGCGAAGGCGGCAGCGACAAGGGCGGTGACGACAGCGATGACGAGACGAGTCCAACCCCAGAACCGGCAGCCCGGAGCTCTCGCTCCCCGCTGCTTTTATTCCCCTCGGCGCGGCTTTTCGAACCCTCTGGAGGGTTCCAGGGGCTTCCACACGAGGTCTACCATGACCCTTGCCCCAGTTCCTCCGCCCTGCCGGCACACCCGCGTTTATGCTCAGCGGCATGCGCACTAAGTGCCCACCTGCAGTTGCAGCTGCTGTCCAACAGTCAGCGCTATGTCACTACAGATGCATAACAAACAAAACACATTTGTGTAACACTATCAAGTATTCTTTGGACCGAGTACCAATCATATTCAATGATATTTAATGATTGGTACTCTGATTCTTTTAAATAAATTTTATACTTGTTTGCATTAAAATATGCCTCCATGTGTGTGGTTGAATGATCCATCAAATCCACCCGTTAAATGCGAGATATCAAAGAATCTGAATAACTAGACTATAGCCCGTCCAAGGACGGGTGCATTGCAGTTAATCTGAAATATTTAATCGAAAATAATGACCCGCTCATGATTATTAATGAGGGGGTGGGGGCGGGGTCCACTTGAGTGATGTCCTCATCAGATGATGATTATTAATGAAGGGGGGTGCTCCATGTGGAGTGATGTCACCCGCTCATGATTATTGACAGGGGGGGTGGGGGGGGGGCCTCATGTTGAGTGACGTCACGTGCAGGACACGCACACATTCTTGGCTTATTATCTGAATAACGAGCTTGTTTTCCCGTCCTAGGACGGAAGCTGTAATATTTAGGAAAAAATTGAGCAGAGTATAATTGTATCTTGTGTAAATTTAATGTCAGTGAATCTTGCACAAAACTACGTCATAAAACACCTCACTTCATGTCACTGTAGCACTGTGTATAACTGACCTTCAATTTGTTCAGATTCACTGCTCTGATACTTTATTCTCTTCTGCTTTGGGTCGCTGGGGTTGAAATTAATTGGAAATCAATACAATATCTGGAAAATAACCGAGAAATGTCTACTTTACCACAATGCAGAAGCATAAATTAGTGCTGAAGAAATAAATAAAGACACAAAATGCTCTTTAGATTCACTTTCAATAAAGAAACGTCAAACGTAAAGCAAATTAGTGAAAAAAAATTCCGCTCGACTTGCGCGAGTGTAAAAATCCACCCGCTCGTGAATATTAATGAGGGGGGGGGGTGCGGCATGTGGAGTGACGTCACGCGCGTTACACACGGACATTCTTGGCTCATTATAGTAGTAATAATGTTGGTTTCTGTCATTGTGTCTAATGAACGAATCCTACCCTGGACCAGGGATTGGCAACCTTCGGCTCCGGAGCTTCATGCGGCCCTTAAAGCAGAACCGGCCCTAGACTTTTGGGGGCCCTAAGCAAAATTTGGTTGGAGGCCCCTTTGATGTATGATTTTTTTCACCCACTAGCTAGCAGTGACTCTAGGGGGCCCTCTGCTGGCCACGGGGCCCTTTGCAATTGCAAGGGTCGCTTAGTGGCTGGGCCGGCTCTGCCTTAAAGGGACTGCTTCGTGACAATTAGCGCGGTTGGCTACGTACGGTGTGACAAGAGTTCAGCATACAAATATACTGCCCATAGACTAACGTTACCCATTGACTAACACTACCCATAGACTAACACTACACATAGACTAACACTACCCATAGACTGACGCTACCCGTAGACTAACGTTACCCATTGACTGAACACTACCCATAGACTAACACTACCCATAGACTAACACTACCCATAGTCTAACACTACCCATAGACTGACGCTACCCATAGACTAACACTACCCATAGACTAACTGCATACACAGGAATTTCCTGATATGGTGTTGAGTTTGGTCACGTGACCAGGAAGTTACAATTTAAGATTCTTTAAGCCATGCGGCAGGGTGTCAGCCATTACACAGAGTACAAAATGGAGGCACAAATAGCGTCTCAGTCAAGACAGGTCCATCTGTTCATTGTGGTACTTTAAGAAGCATTGTCTGTAAGTTCATTTATGTTCTCATAATACTGGGAATGCTGTTATGTTATGATTGCCGTTATAACGCTGTTAAATTGTTATGATAAATATGAGGCCTAGTTAACAACGAAGCCTGCCACTTGCATTAGTGTGAATGTTACTTGTCATTGAATAAGTCGAGTCAGACTTCTACCCATGTGACTTTAATGCGATCTTGAGAGCAAGGATGAAGAAGTATCTCATACACAGTTCAGTGTTATGTGCAGCGCCGTACATTTCGGCTGCAGTATGGTGAATACACGAAATGACCTTATTCAACACAGTAGCTTATTCTCTTGTATTCGGTGCTAATGTCGGTGCCTGGTCCATCCAGGACCTATTGTGGAGTTTCATGTATCTAAGACAATGTTACGATGCTGCAGTGTTCATTGTATTGATATTCAAAGTATTAACAGATGCTGTATTTTGTGCTGTTTCTCCATCAGTTTTACCGCGTTCAATTCATTAAATACGTTTGGAGTCGGATGTTCACCCTGGCTCTGAAGGTTTATTGAATGCGAGGTTATCTACTCGGATGGTGGTGCAACACAGCGCACAGCGAGGCCGAGACACTAACACTACCCATAGACTCAACACTGCGCCTCCGATTAGCACGGTTGGATTTCAGTTTAACACGTAGGCTTTCGCGACCAATATTATTCATGATAAAGGTTTTTATTATTAACGGTTGGATATGTACGGTGCGAAAGAAGTTCAATATACATACACACTGCCCATGGACTAACATTACCCATAGCCTAACACTGCACATAGACTCAACACTGCACCTCCGATTAGCACGGTTGGCTATGTACAGTGCGAAAGAAGTTACAACAAACGTACGCGCAACACCGGCATCAACACAAACAGAAGCAAGACCACACACCAACTCTGCCCTGATGCCCTATTGCTTGCTCTGTGTCTCCAGTAAACGTCGACATTGGCAGAAAACTCCTGGTCATCCTTCCGCAATATTCAAAAACAAGAGTGTTGACATTCTAGGAAACGAGATTCGGGAGGCTTTTTTTTAAGAGGAAAAGCGAATGTGTGTTTACTCGCACTGCAAACATAGGAACACTCTCAAAACTCCACCTGTTCTATTGTCTACGATAACATTACAAAAAGCAATGTTTGCCGTTTTAAAAGTGTAAAACGAAAGTTTCGGTAATTCACATTTATAAGGCGCCACTCAATGCATGAAGTTGGGAAATATAATTCCAGTCGATCATCGATTAGGCGGCGGCTTCGTAGGCAGGGGATGCCGGATTTTCAAAAGCGCCCGCATATTGAATCACTAAGCATAATCATTATTTAAAATCGCGTATTTTTGCACATTATGTGACATGTTTCGAGGTGGGTTTTTTTCGTGTTATAAAATTATCTTCGTGAACATGGCATAGAATAAAATATTAAAAAATACTTTTTTTAAACACGCTTAAATGAGATGTACTGTCCGAGCTGCCCCTCCCCCTGTCCCCTTCCCCCATCGCCCCTCCCCTCCTTCCACACCCCCCGCCCCTGGGCGTGGCTCCCCGAGGCTTGGCGTGACGTAAGGGACCGTGGTGATTTACAGCCAACGTCAGTTGAGCGTCGACAATTAGAGCCGTAAAAAAGATTTTTAAAAACATTTTTTTACATTTTTAATAATAGAATATAGCATTGTCATCCGTATGACATACCTATACCAAGTTTGCAGTCGATACGACATTGGGAATACGGTTGAAATTGAGTTACAAGATTTTTGGATACGACAACACACAGGGTATGTTAAATAAAATCGTGTAAAAAGTTTTAAAATATATGTTTTGGATTTTTTTATGATAGAATATCGTGTTGTCATCAGTATGACATACCTATACCAAGTTTGCAGTCGACAGCACATTGGGAAGTGTGTAAAATTTTAGTTACAAGATTTCTTTTTTGAGGATACAACAGACGAAGTGAGTTAAAAAAAAGCGTGTAAAAACATACAAATAGACGAAAATAAATGTTCTGTTTAAAAAATCCCTGTACCGTACTTACCACTCCAACCTCGAAGACTCTGCATGTTTGTGATGTATATACGTGCAGTGTTTTCCATTGTTTAAGTTGTACGCAGTGTATCATGCATTGCATATAATGAACACTGACAACCACGGCTTGTTGTGCTGTCGGTAGCCGAACCGGTTACAGCCTTTGAAGCGGTTTTCGCCAAATCGGCCCAGAACCGCGGGATAACGTTGGAAGCCGGATAAAAGCGATGATCAAACTGTACTACCAATCATACATGGGAAGTGTAAAGCCTCTGCAGTCTCGAGAGAAGACCTAAACAGGGCGAACGTAGTCTTCTTGGCTCAGCTAGTGGACAAATGTGGGATTTTTTTGGTCAGGCTTATGATGATGTAAAGCAGATGTCGTGACGGTGCGTGCGGATGTATTGTCGCTTGTTGACTGAGGCCGTTTATGGCCCTTTGTATGTTTAGCTTGGGGTGCTCTGATACGTGCATTTTCTTTGTACTGCTCGCCTTTGGGCGTTCTCTGGTCTGACCCTGGTGAGACTGGGCCATAAAGAAGGCTTTCTCTGGTGTAGACCAATCAGTTTCAAAGACAATGCATAATATCAGAACAAGTACGTGTGGGTTAATGCAGACTTGATCCCGTGTGCATGTATGTTGAACTTCTTTAAATGCCAAGATACCTAACAGCCACGTATGCCAGGTGTGTCACGTACATTATTTGACACGTCAGAATCAGAACCAGATATCTTTATTTATCCTGGGAGAAATATGACGAGCTACAAAGCAGGGGTGGGTCAGAAAGTTACAACAAACAATCCACAAATCGTTCAGAGTGCAAAGTATAGGAAAAGAAAGACAATTACTAATAAAGTACAAGTTCAAACTGCATAAGTACACCAATTTCCAAGCTTGGCCTAGGCACCAAAATGACTTAAGGACAGTCCCAGACGACACGAAGGCAGCACACAATCCCTCAATAAAGTTGCACATTAAAATGTAACAATCGATACATGGGTAAGGATGAACATTACACATTACATTTGCAAATGCGGTTGTACCCAACACTAATCTTCTGCTTCAGTATATGTTTTTGAAGGAAGATTTACGATGCTAAGGAAGGAAACGAGGTTTTGTTCAGAAACGTCGGTGCTGCTGCAACGACAAGGGCTGTGTGTCACCTCTTCCTATTGTTGTTAATAGAGTTAGATGGACGTCTTGGGTTTCCTGGCTTTGACAATTGGGTAAATAAATGAGCCAAGTACAGAGGTCTCAAGAGTACTCGGACCAGCTCATACGCAAACAAACCCCCTCCACTGATTCACATTCACATGTTTGTGCTATTCGTACTTTCGCTGCACGCACGGGGTAGGAAGCGAGGAGTTACATCACCCCACCCCCGCCATCACATGGATTTGACAGCGGTTGTAACTCTATCGGCCGCGCAAGAAACTCGTCCAAAACAATCTCTGAGTGTTCTATCGGACCCGGATGCTGCCGATGATTAGTGAATCATTTACTGTACAGTGCCGTACTTTATTACACATTTATGTACATTTATATACCTTTTATATCCACTCGTATAGTAATACAGTAGTATATAGTAATGTATTGTAATATATAGTAATATAGTAGTGTATAGTAATATAGTAGTAATATAGTCGTGTATATTTTATGTATATCTACACTCGTAGAAGCGAACCCCAACTTACGTTAATCCGTGCTTATGCGGGGGTACACAGCTTGGATTTTTCTCCGGGTCCTCCGGTTTTTCCCTTTACATTTAGAATCGACATCACGTGTTTTATAGTATTTGGCTGCTGCTATAGATGTCCACGTGACGAAACACCACTTGGTTGAGCCATCATTTGTGGCCAAGTCGCTTCCGAAAAAAGGGCCATACAGCTCTGTGGGCCTTACCTGGTAAAATTTTAAAAAACATCGTTTTTACACACTTTATTTTAACTCACTCTGTCTGTTGTCGTTGTTGTATCCTCAAATTTTGTAACTCAATTTTAACCCACTTCCCAATGTGGTATCGACTGCAAACTTGGTATACTTATGTCATACTGATGACAATACTATATTCTATCATAAAAAACATATTTTTAAACATTCTTTTTTATATGTTGTGTTTCAGCTTGGGTCTAATTGCCCACGACCCCTTACGTTATGGCAAGCTTTGGGGCCACTTCCTGGAGTCGTGGAGTTCTGCCATTACTAGTACATTTCATAAAAGCGTGTGTAATTTTTTTTTTATATTACTTATTGTTTGTTGAGTACGGTGAGATGGCAGAGATAGCCTCTTTGTCACGTTAGTTCCAATTCCCCGGCCTCTCATCATGGACGAATGGTCCGACCTTTGACCTCCAACCAGGGATTGGTCTAAATGCGTTTCTTTACTTCGATGTGCAGAGGATCCTATAGGAAAAGGGATAACAACAAAAAACTGACATTTAATAGGTTTAAAAATGTAATTATGTTCATTGGGATACTTTGAAACGTGTAATGTATAACAATGATAATGACTGTTACTGTTTTGGTATTGACATTGGGGACACTGGTGATGCAAATTCACAGTAAATATTATTATTACTCAGGATCAGACAGCTAGACTAAGGTACCTTTATGATTCTCATGGTTAAGTGATGATTTCTGAAGCTCGCACAGCCAGGCTAAGACACTTTTAGGTTGAATGTTAACGGTAACTGGGAATCACTTAGCTATACATAATGCAGGCATTACACAATACTGTTGCTAACCCACTCAAAAACAAATTCCGTATTTAAGAAATTGGCCCATGATGCTCTCTAACGTTTCACGGTAGTAGCATTCAAATTGATAGAAAACAGCGGTTAAGTTTCCCCTTTCTTACCACATGCTGTAATATTCACATAAAGGCTACACCTCAGTAAGTTCACAGCAACTTCATGGATTCTGCACTGGGTAAAGATGAACCGTGGCACTTGATGTGTTCCGTGGTAGCTCTTCGTATTTTTTACCTTGCAGCAACGACTACTTGCGTCATAGGGCGAGTGATCCATTCCCAGATACCCCGTTAAACTAATGTGTAGACATCAGGGAACATTTGAATTCCACGTCTCTGATTGTCTCCGATCAAATGCGTGACTTAGTAAATATTGTTTACCATTCTCCTGATCCACATTGTCCAACATAGCAAGTGAGATTTCCTTAGAGTCATCCATGTCCTGTGGTTTTGCCGAGCATAGGAGCGCTACATGTACAGTACGTATGTTGAACTTCTTTTGCACCGTACGTAGCCAACTGTGCTAATCGGGGGTGCATGCCGTGTAACCCCTGAAGTGAAACACCCGGTGGGGTCACGTGAGGTGACGAATTGCCTCGCGTAGCCAACCTCACGCGGCACGAGGAGCAGTGGGCTGTGGGGTATCTGGAAATGGATCAACCGGTACATCGCCATTTTGACCGACCGTCAAGAATGTATTTTTTACACGCTTTTTATTTAACTCACTCTGTCTGTTGTTGTTGTATCCTCAAATCTTGTAGCTCAATTTTAACCCACTTCCCAATGTGGTATGGAATATAAACTTGGTATACTTATGTTATACTGATGACAATATATTTTATCATAAAAAAATATATATTTTTTTAAACATTATTTTTTATATGTTGTTCACGATCAACTGACATTGGCTATAATTGGCCACGGTCCCTTACGTTATGGCAAGCTTGGGGGCCACTTCCTGGAGTCGTGAAGTTCTGCCATCACTAGTACATTTCATAGAGGTAGGAACAACAGTTCCACACTGCCCACCAGGGATTATTTGTCTGTCGTGCATAGCCCTTCCCAAACATGTACGCTCCCGGATTGGTTGAAGTGTGTCACGTGACTGCGAGCTTTCTGTCGTGCACGAATGTGCTGTCCAACCAAGTTCCTACCTGCCCACTCCGAAGGAACGTGTTTAAAGAGTGTTTTTAAAAATATTACTTATTAGGAAAGGGGCCGTCCATAAATTAACTGGAGCTATAAAATACATTGCTATCGATGCCAAGTGTGTATGCTCGTCACAATTATTATTTAAACATCGGGAGTTCTCAAATTTGGCAAAGAACAACTTCACGTAAGCAGTAGAGATGTATGTACTCAATGTTGAACTTCTTTCACACCGTACGCAGCAAACCGTGCTAATCGTAGGTGTGGGAAACACGTGTTGCCTGACCACCAGGAATCAAGCCCGGGCCGAAGGGAGAAATGGCATCGTTGTTGTTCATGGGTTAACAATGAATGTGTGTGACAGGGCATGAATCGTGCACTGCATGAAACGTCGCATCTGTCTTACCAAACTTGAATGGTGTTTTTTCAAGTAGTATATATATCCGAATATGATTGCTGTCATTATCGATATGACGATTGTGATGAAAATGCCTTCAGGAAAAACACACAAACATCGGATGCAGTTTTTGAGTGTACAGTATATATATTTTAGCTATTACAAGTATGGACAACACAGCAACGAAAACAGGCGTTTACAGCTGATGCTGCTGCTGCATCTGGAGTAAACCAAAATCATATGTAACGGGCAGCTCTCGTGAGCACCCTCTGACGAGTACTCAGAAAACCCCAATCTCTCCCATGTCAACCCACACGATTTACCCGTATTACTGTACATGGCAAATTGAGTAAAAACATTTTTATGTCTATTTGTTTGTGTTTCTCCCTTGTGATTGGACTTTGTAGGATGAACGTTGAGATTTATAATTGGCACGGGGTGACCAGTAAGGTCTCAATTAGTTTGTAATAAGGTAGGCCACTGATAAGGGGTTGATTGGACTTTGTAGGATGAACGTTGAGATTTATAAGGGGCACGGGGTGACCAATACGGTCTCAATTAGTCTGTAATAAGGTAGGGCACTGATAAGGGGTTGACAGGTTTGCCAATCAGCGACTGCATGGGCGGTGTGTGGGTACGGAATAACACAAACATCAACAGAGTCTCGACCAAAGCCGCCTCAGAGTAACGGGCTGCGTGGCTTCTCCAACGCTGCTGTCGAGCGTCTGCTCGTAAGGACAGAGACGCTGCCCCAAGACGTCGTGAGGCTGCTATCCTCTAGGTTGGTGTCGCTTAGGGCAGTGGTGACGATGATCGGTGCAGTCGTTCAGTACTGTACGTATATACAGGGTGTTTAAAAAATATGGACCCGATTTGAAATCGCTACATCTCTGCAACCATGAACCGCCCATGAATGAAACTCTTACCACTTCAAAGGGCGGGGCATAGATAAGGGGTGGGGCATAGAGAAGGGGCGGGGCATAGAGAAGGGGCGGGGCATAAAGAGAGGGCGGGGCATAGAGAGGGCGGGGCATAGAGTTTCTAATGCTCAGTCATTCGCAAAATGGTGACCCCGCAACACAAGGCATTTTGCGTTCTGCAGTTCAGCAAAACTTAATCCGTAATTGCGGTGCAGCGTGCGTTTCAACGGCGTTTTTGCATTAATCCGCCAATGTCAAAGAGCATTCGTCGTTGGTACCGACAATTTGAGGAAACAGGCTGTTGATGTAAGGGGAAGAGCACAGGGCGACCACGCACCTCAGAGGAAAACGTGAGAAGAGTGGCGTTTGGGATGAATTCAACTATCGTCTCGCTGGTGTCCGTACAGCAGGTGGAGGGCACATAGAGCATTTATAAAATGGTTAGTAAAACTTGATAACTCATTAAACCGTTTGTAACTTTTTGTGTAATTGTAACATGTTGCCAGCGTGAAATATACTGCTTTGAAATTGGGTATATCTTTGTTGCACACCTTGTATATATGGGAGTTGCCGCGATATGCCGATACTAGGATATAATATCCGCGATAATCGCATCGTGTCGTCTGTTTTTTTCTCTAAAAACATTGTCGTACCGTGATTGTCGTTGGTTCAATTGTATTTTTCTCAGATGTTTGCATTAGAAAAGTATCGTCGACGGTATCTTATATACAGCAATTACTTGTCGTTTTTTATCGTCATGATTCATAAATACGATGTATTTATGCTCATTGATGAATTGTATAGCCATGGAAATCCATCGAAACGTACCTTCACTTGTCAACTCTTCTCCAACAGGACGGTTATTGTAGCAGATCTCTATCCCTCCGTCGTGAAATTCGCGAGTGCCACTTTCACAAGCACACTCCCGATTACTTGTTGGTGTGCAGGGCTTCACCTCTGTCTTATGAATCTCTAGTTGAAAGAAAAGCAGCACATTGATCACAACCGCACACAGCTCAGCGCTTCAACGAGTTTACACATCTGTACACATGTGTTGTATCGTAGACGGAGGTACTCGGAGACGGAGGTTGAGTTAGGGGCTTCCGCCAGGGTTTATTAACACTTATCACTATCCCTGGTTCCCTCTTTACCCCTTCCACTATCCCCGTTCCTCCAGTGACCCCGCTTACGTTACGGGGTCTCCCTTATATACCCTCGGAGGGGTGATGTCGCGTGCACTGCCCAGCGCGTGCGACCCCACGTCCCGTGAGGTCACCGCACCTGACAGCGCACACGACGCCACCACTCTCCACTACTCCTCTACATCACCCCCCCCCGTAAAAAAAAACAGCCGACCCGGCTGCAATCAACCTTAGGGCAGCACGGCCCTTCAAGCAGAACAGTAACAACAAAAAAACAAAACAAATAGAGCCCGAAGGCCTCATCCGCCGGATAGCGCCGAACGGGCGCCAGGGGCTAGGCCCGCTGAACGGCCATCAGGGCCGTCACCGGAGCCGCACCCCCCTCGAGCGGGTATGCGCTGCTGGCCCGCTCCCTCGTGCGGTGTCCGCCACCCGTGCAGGTGGGCCGTCAGCGGGCAACAGGCCCACCGCCGTGGCCTCCGGTGCCTGGGGGGTCTCTGTCGGCCTCACTCGGGAGGGGCCTGGGGGCACACACACAGGTCGGACGTCACCTCCGTCAACGAGACCCGGCCGGTCAGGCACGCCGGATACATCATCAGCCGGCCGCTCCGGAATTGGGGGTGGATCCCCCAGGGTAGATGGAACATAACGTTTGAGCCGGGACGGGTGCACTATCCACTGCCTGCGACCGAATCGAATCCGGACGCATTGCGGCCGGCGGACCTCCACAACCTCCACGGGTCCCTGCCAAGGGCGATGCAATTTGGCCGATGTGCCAACGGGGACCTGGGGACAATGCAGCCACGCTTTTTGACCCGCTACCCACGGGAGGCCAGCTGCCTGGTGTTTTGGCAGCCGCTCATTAGCCGCCTGCCGGCTTGCGGAATTCTCGGCAGCGGCCTGTCGCGCCTCGCGCAGCCGGTCAAGTGCGACCTTCAAAGGGGTCGGCACCGACGACCCCTTCTTGGAGGAGCCAACGTCCATCTGGACGTGCACCGGGGGCTCCGGTTCCCTACCGTACATTAAATAAAAAGGCGAAAATCCCGTGGAGGCATGAGGGGCCAACCGATACGCCGCCAAGACCCCCGGGACGAACAGGTCCCAGTCTGACTGGGACGTGTTCACCTGGTGGCACAGCATGGACGTAAGGGTGCGGTTCAAGCGCTCTACCATCCCATCTGACTGGGGGTGGTAGGGCGAGGTGCGGATTTTCTTGGTGCCAAGGAGGTCACACACCTCCTTGAGCAACCTAGACGAGAAATTCCGCCCCTGGTCAGTCAACAATTGTTCCGGCGCGCCCTTGTCAAACACGTATCCCTGGACGAAGGCCTCGGTGATAGAAGAGGCCAACTGATCGACCAAAGGCCATGCCATGGGCCAACGTGTGAGGTACTCAACGCCCACCAAGAGGTATTTGTGGCCCCGTTGGGATGCAGGGAATGGCCCCAAAATGTCGAGCGCCACGAGCTCATTAACGCGAGAAACCCGGATGGACTGCAGCGGGGCCCGGTCCTGGACAACTGGGGCCTTCCTCCGCGCGCAGTCGTGGCAACCCTTCAAAATCAGTGCTACGTCACCCTCAACACCCGGCCAGTAATAGTCCCGCTTAAGGGTCAATAAGGTCTTGTGGTAGCCAAGGTGCATAAGCTTCTCGTGAATGGCTCGGGTTAATTTACCACGCAGGCTAGTGGGCACAACCACACAATAGCGTTCCAATTGGGCATCCCAACGCATGAGTAGTCCGTCATGCACGGCGATCGCCGGGGCAGCCGACGAAGCTAAGCTCCGGGCGTTATGTCCGACACGGCGCCGTAGCTTCAGCAGAGAGGAATCCTCCATCTGCAAGCCGGACCATACCTCCCGGGGAAGTCCAAGGCCGAAATCTGCGGTCGACGCCGCACCTGGAGGGGTGTCCGCCTCGGCCGACGCGACCAACTGGGCCGCGGCGTCCCCTGGGGCCTTGCAACGGCTAGAGCCCAGGGCGCAAGCACACCCGCCGCCTGCCGGCAATCGGGATAAACCGTCCGCATTTCCATGCTGTGTCCCCTTCCTATGGATTACATCAAAAGGGTAATCCTGGAGCACTTCGAGCCAGCGAGACAGCTGACCCGAGGGCTGACTAATCTTCAGCGAATATTGCAGGGCCGCGTGGTCGGTTCGGACCGTAAACAGCCTACCGTACAAATATGGTCTATACAACTGAACAAAATAAACTATGGCCAAAAGCTCCCTCCGGGTCACACAATATCGCTGTTCCGTCGAGGACAGAACGCGACTGCCATAGGCTACCACCCTCTCAACCCCGTCGACCACCTGGGCCAGGACAGCCCCAATTCCCGTGTCGCTGGCATCGGTATCGAGCAGGAAGGGTTTCGTAAAATCCGGGTACCCCAAGGGCGGCGCATCCGCCAAGGCCGTGCGAAGCGCCGCAAAAGCCGCCTCCTCCTCCGCGCCCCAGTGAAACCTTTGTCCTTTGGCGGAAAGGGCGTGCAGTGGCTTCGCAATTGTCGCAAAATCGCGGACAAACCGGCGATAGTACGATGCGAATCCAACGAAGCTACGCACCTCCGCGACAGATGTGGGAGTCGGCCACGTCCGGACACAAGCCGTTTTATCCGGGTCCGTGGCGACACCTGACGTGCTAACAATGTGTCCCAAATACCTCACCGATGGTTGTAGCAAGTGGCATTTCTGGGGTTTGAATTTCAAGCCAGCAGCACGCACTTTGACGAACACCGCCTCAAGGCGTTGCAAGTGCTCGCCAAACGTACGGCCAAAAACAATAACGTCATCCAAGTAGATTAGACAAGACTCCCACTGCAGCCCCGCCAAGACCATCTCCATGAGACGCTGGAAGGTGGCCGGGGCCGAATGGAGACCCATAGGAAGCCGATTGAACTCGAACAACCCCTGGGGCGTGCGGAACGCTGTTTTGGGTCTAGAGGCCTCATCCAGTGGCAATTGCCAGAAGCCGGAGAGCAAATCTAAAGTCGAAAAGAACCGCGCGCCCGAGAGGGCGTCCAAGGAATCATCCATGCGAGGCAATGGATATGCATCAGCCACCGAGATCTTGTTCAATCTACGAAAATCGACGCAGAACCGGAGACTCCCGTCCCGTTTCTTGACTAGCACAATGGGGGCACCCCAAGGGCTAGTAGATGGGGAGATGATGTCCGCCGCCAACATTTCCTCGACAGCCGAGCGGACATGATCTTTTTCCGCTGGGCTAAAGCGGTGGGAATTAAGTCGAATGGGGGCCGCGTCGCCCGTGTCTATGTGGTGGTCCAAAAGAGTAGTGCGACCCAGATCAAACTTACTTTGGCTGAACACATCGGTGAACCGTTCGATGAGGTCGCGGAGTTGCCGACGTTCCCCGAAGGACAACGAGGCATTCTCGTCGCACAACGTGGCGATCCATGATGCGTCGGGGTCCCCCGTGCGCATCACGCCCGCCACGACCCCTCCATCCGGGGCAGCGCTCTCGGGTGGAGGAGCCGGGGTTGCGTGTGCCAGGACGGCGCCGGCCGGGACTATGACCGGCAAGGGTCCCGAATTGAGGACCTGCAAAAAAAGGTCCTGGCCCCCCGACACGGCTGTCAAGGCGCCCACCAACCCCTTCGTCCTTGAAAAGTAGCTTGACGGGGACAGGAGGATACCCGTCTCCGTGGAGCCCATTTCGAGCGGTTTGCGCAACCTAAGGGGTATCAGGATTTGTGACGCCGGTGGTACGGTCACCGGCACTTTATTCAAGGCCCGTACACCGGCGACCAAGGGAGACAGGACGGTAGGTGATTGTAGGAATTGCAGCCGCCTCCCTGACGGCATTTCCACACAGCCCTGGTCAACGAGAATTCGGATGGGCATCCTAGACAAAAAGTCGGTCCCCAAGAGGCATGGCACTGCCAAGGTCCTGGAGACCAAAATCGGCCCGGCCAACTCAATCTCGTCAACCCGAACCGACGCTACAACGTGGCCCAGGATGCCCAAACTGCCGCCGTTCGCGGCGACACAAGCCCCGCGAACCGGCCTTAATGGACCCACGCTGCGGGGTAGCAGCCCAAAAATGGCCTCAGAAATAATGGTGGCCGACGCCCCCGTATCCACCAGGAGGCGAACGTGCACCCCTTGCACATATCCTGCCACCGCTGAGGAGCCGGCAGCTGCCGCCACCATCCTATGCGCAAGCGCATCCCAGTGGCGGGTCTGTCTGGGCCATTGAGGGGGTGATGACGATGGTGCACCCGACCCTTCGAGGACAACCCCATGACGATGGGCCCTAGCCCCGCTAGATGCATGAGGTGAAGGGAGCGGCCGCGCAGATGATGCGTCGCGACTCGCCTGGGGCCCCGAACCCGATGCCAAGGAGGGTCTGGGAGAAGGTGGAGTCCCTTTTCCAAAGGCCCCCGGGGCATTCCGGCAGCCCCGCTCAATGTGGCCCCGCTGACCACAGCGGAAGCAGGCCACCGTGTCCGCCTCCTGTGGACGGGAAGGTCCCGGCCGCCCCCGCTGCTCCGGACGGCGACCACCCGTCCCCCTTCCTCGACGATCGGGCATCGCCAGGGCCGCGAGGGTGTCCCCCCCGTCCGGCGCCAGGATCCCCGCACACGCCGCCATCTGAGGCCGTTGGCGGAGGGAGAGGTGCGCCTGAATGTTTTCTGCGACCGCCAAGGATGTGATCTGCCGATCATTGTTGATCGACAGAGCAATTCCTAGCTCCCTTGCCAGGTCAAGCAGCTTCCCCAAGGCCATAGAATCAAGTGCCCTGCCGTACAGGTCAGGGTATGCAGCCTGCGCCAGGGCCAGGAGCGAGCAGCGGAAGGCCAGCGGCAGTTCCCCCTCCTCCCGCCGCCGCAATGAAAACTTTAGCTGCGCGGTGGACGGCGGCTCAAAAACGTTGGCCATTTGGATATAGGCCGCCGGGAGTGTAGCCCGATTGGCCGGATGGATGGACTTGAAGGCCTGCAGAGCCCTTTCGTCCAAGCAGGTCGGAAGCGCCGGCAAGGCCTCCTCCATGGACCAGCCGACCGACATGTATGCCGCGTCGAACCGGTCCTGGAAGGCCGACCAGTCGCCCCCTTGCGCGACAAACGGCGCAACGTCGGGTAACCTGCGCTGCCATTGGCCGCGCGGCGCCGCGAGGTGTGGAAGCCAAGCGGCACCTGCGGGCCACCCAGCGGACGCGACGTGTTGCGGCGGTGGCAGCATTGCGGCTCCCGCGGGCCACGCCGAAGACGCGGAAAGGTGCGGTGGTGCTGCGGCCCCCATGGGCCACGCCGTAGGCGCAGCGAATTGTGGCTGAGTTGCGGCCCCCATGGGCCACGCCGTAGGCGCAGCGAATTGTGGCTGAGTTGCGGCCCCCATGGGCCACGCCGTAGGCGCAGCGAATTGTGGCTGAGTTGCGGCCCCCATGGGCCACGCCGTAGGCGCAGCGAATTGTGGCTGAGTTGCGGCCCCCATGGGCCACTCCGTAGGCGCAGCGAATTGTGGCTGAGTTGCGGCCCCCTTGGGCCACGCCGTAGGCGCAGCGAATTGTGGCTGAGTTGCGGCCCCCATGGGCCACGCCGTAGGCGCAGCGAATTGTGGCTGAGTTGCGGCCCCCATGGGCCACGCCGTAGACGCAGCAAAGTGTGAAGGCGCCTGCGCTTTCGCGACCCACCGGTCAGCGGCGGCGTACGAAGCCACGGCGTCGTCCCGCGACGCGGCGAGGGACCACGGCGTTGCAGCCTCAACGGGCCACGCCGAAGACGCGGCGGTGTAATTCGGGCCTGCAGCGGCCCCCGCGGCCCACCCCGCCGGCGCAGCGAGGTGCGGGACAGCAGGCCGCAGCCGCGGCAACCTCTCGCGATGCGGCGAGGCACCACGGCGTTGCGGCCTCCCCGGGCCACGCCGTAGACGCGGCGGTAAAACACGGAGCCGCGGTGGCCCCCGCGGCCCTCCCCGCCGGCGCAGCGAGGTGCGGGACAGCGGCCGCAGCCGCGGCAACCTCTCGCGACGCGGCGAGGCGCCACGGCGTTGCAGCCTCCATGGGCCACGCCGAAGACGCGGCAGAATAACACGCAGCTGCGGCGTCATCCATGAGAAGGGACGCAGGCACGGCGAGGTGCAGAGCCGCGGCATCGCCGGTGTCCGGCCCCGTGAGCGCAGCGACAGGTTGAGCCGCGGCAGCACCCGCGGCCCATTCCGGCGGCACAGCGATGTACGGGGCAGCAGCAGCCGCCGCTGCCCACCCCGGCGGCCCGGCGAGGACGGCACGCGCGTACTTACCCTGGGCCCCCCCGGCGGGCGCCGCTTGATGTAGAGCCGCGTCGTCGCCGGCGGCTGGTCTCGCAGGAGCGGCGTGCCGAGAAATCCCGGCCGCGTCGGTGGAGAGACGCGGCGTCGCGGTCGCCATGGCAGCCGTAGCAGCGGCCGCATATGGCTCCCGAGCCAACATGGCCGCCGCGGATTGCGTCGCAGCCAACATGGCGGCCATTTCCGGTGGAGCGGTCGCTGGGGCCCCCCCGGCGGGTGCAGCTTGATGTAGAGCCGCGTCGTCGCCGGCGGCTGGTCTCGCAGGAGCGGCGTGCCGAGAAATCCCGGCCGCGTCGGTGGAGAGACGCGGCGTCGCGGTCGCCATGGCAGCCGTAGCAGCGGCCGCATATGGCTCCCGAGCCAACATGGCCGCCGCGGATTGAGTCGCAGCCAACATGGCGGCCATTTCCGGTGGAGCGGTCGCTGGGAAAACTGCGGCGCTTTCAACGTTGGCAGTTGACAGTTGCTCCCGTCCCGCGTGCGGGGCGGTTGGCTGCGTCCGCGCCTCCACCTTGGCCAACCTGGCTGTCAGCTGCCCCACCGCCTGCAGGAGCTGCTGCAGCAGAGCTGCGGGGACGCTCTCCGTCTCTGGCGGCGGCGGTGAGCTGGCACTCCCCGCAGCCGACTCCTCCCGCTCCGGCCCGCTCGTCTCCACGGGAACCGTCACCGGGGTCCCGGGCTCCGGGGTCACTGCTGGAGCCTCCTCTCCGCCTTCGGCGCCCTCCAAGTCATGTGCCGGTGGGTTCCTACGCCGTGCGCCCGCTTTATACATGTTGGCGACGGTGTAAACTTCTGACACCAGTTGTTGTATCGTAGACGGAGGTACTCGGAGACGGAGGTTGAGTTAGGGGCTTCCGCCAGGGTTTATTAACACTTATCACTATCCCTGGTTCCCTCTTTACCCCTTCCACTATCCCCGTTCCTCCAGTGACCCCGCTTACGTTACGGGGTCTCCCTTATATACCCTCGGAGGGGTGATGTCGCGTGCACTGCCCAGCGCGTGCGACCCCACGTCCCGTGAGGTCACCGCACCTGACAGCGCACACGACGCCACCACTCTCCACTACTCCTCTACACATGTAACATCAGCTCAAGCCTCCCGTGCATCACGTGACTTCTGTGTGGCCACCCCCACTCTGAACCCCTCCCCTCTTCCCCCCCCCCCCCACGACCGCCCACTGTGAAAACAGGCGCCGCTCCTCCGTGCAGCTCATTTCTCTTCGCTCCTCGCATTATCATCATCATCATCATCGCTATCTCATCCCCAACATCTTGGCCAGGTTATTCCTTCTACACCTCCTGCTCCCCTTCCTGCCCGGTGCTCCTCCTCTCTTCCTGTTGAACATCATCAGCCGTGCCTTCCTCTTCGTCTCGGGGACTTCTGTCCGAGCCTCCCTTCCCTCTCCCACTCCTCTCTCTTTTCTCATTCATCGTCTCCTTGAGCCAAGGGTGGCAGTACTATACGGAATTACGGTACAGTGCCACAACTTTTGGTTCTTGAGTACGGTACGATATCACGGTACAATACTTCTTCATCAGGTATGGTAAGGTATGAAAGTATGGTATTTTTTTCGTAAGCCTTTTGTACCAACTCAGGTGATCAATTAATTAGAAGCCATTAATTTATGATAATCATTATACTGTCTTGTCTTTAGAGGCGGATGCAATAATTTACACCAGTTATCAAAAACTAAAATGGCAGGCAAGATTATTTTTTAAAACTGCAACTTACCATGAATAACGGATGACATTTTTAAGTGTTTATAATCAATATTTCTAAAAGTCAAACATATTTACGGATAATTTTTTTTATGTGTAAGTATCTTTCTACTAAATAAATTAATAAAGCAAAACTATATCTATAATAAAAGCTTTCTTGACATTTCTCCCTTATTTTCTAAGCAGTTTCTCTTAGCTACGATATAAGGTACGAAATTACGGTATGCACTACAACCCTTGCCTTGACCCCACTCCTCCTCAAGTGTTGTGGCCACAAATAACAACAGTTTTACCACAACAACAACTTTGCTGTAAATGTACTCAGCTGAATGTTTTTTTTATATATACTGTATATAAATTTCGTTACCCGGTGAAAGTCACTTTTCTTGAGTAACTCTTTCTAGCTTTGCGATGCTTAAAAAAATGAAGTGTACCTTTCCTGACATGATGTGTTTACGAGTACCTCTCACCTTGATGAAACTATTGTTTTTTAAAGTTATGACCGTGCGGCTGAGTCTCGCGAGGTGACCGTACAAAAACTGTACGATGCAAAAGTGTTCCCCGCCGAGTTTGTAAACCTGAAATGATTTGTCGCGGCAAAGTAGCGCTGGTCAGTTTAGCAGCCACATTCCTGCGATGGATGTCTTTCCAGTGAAGCAATAAACACCACGACGCGCATTACACAGGCAGCACAATTAGTACTGTGGGTCATTGACACACAGGACTCCAATACTGGGTCTGTTTGTTTTTGAAAGCCTGCGGTGAAATGCCATGAAGGAAATGAAATGGCTGGACGCTTCTCAAATAAAACATCCTGTTCTCGGGCGTAATATTAATTGTTTGTGTGACATAATGAAATAAAATAAATCCGGCTGACTGCCAGGCAGCGTTCAAACAATTACTCTCTGGGATCTCAGGGGTATCCCTGTGGTATCTACTTCCTTGCACTGCGCTGGATTGACATTAATCTCGAGATAAAACTGGGGGCGGAGAGATTGTTTTTGTCAACAGGGTATGTGCATTGGCGAGCTCACCTTCATTGCAAAAGTCGCATGGCCTACACTGACCATCTGTATTGTGCGTGTCACTGTAAGATCCCTCGGTGCAACTCTCACACGTGGACGCTTTTGATCCTTCTGAGCACTTCTCCGTCATGAAGAAACCTGGCGCACAACAGCGAGACACACGAATTGACCGCAATTCAGACGTGCAAACAAGGACCGTTGACAGAGGAGTGTGCCCAGCTCCGAATGAATGTGATGTGGGGAAGTGAAATGGTTTACCCGGTGGGCATTTCTCACAACATCGACCGTGGTCTTCATACTCCGTGGTGTCATTGCACTTCGCTTCCGTGAGGACACACACAGCGATTTGGATGAACACCACCTGAATCACGTGCATGTCCACACAAACAAAGACAAAGATCCCCCGTATAGCCTGGGGCAAGTGCTGTTAGCGAGCACCCATGAAGGGCAGAACGGCACACGAGAGGGCGGGTGGCCAGCACCACACCCGGCCGCCTTTGTTCAGCGGCGATGTTTTTATGCACCGCACCATGTAATCGTTTAAGGCTGAGTCGTCCTAGAGGAGGCCCAGGACCGGTTCAGATAATCGTTATTGATGTTGGTCATGAGCAGGAATCGAACTCCGGACGCCAGGTTCGTAGCGCTGCCCGCTAACTACTACACCACCGATCCCCACTAATGTCCACCCACCAGCACACACACACACAGATACCGTTATTCACCAATGACATGTACACATCGACCTAAATTTGTCACATTCATAATCATCATCAGTGATTTTATCCACTGCTGGATGAAGGCCTCCCGAAGCCGTCCAGAGTACACATGGAACGTTCAGCCAACGTTGGCACAGAGCTGAATGTTTACTTGTTCGCCATCCCTCGCAGCAATTACGCAGCAATCCATCCAAGTCCTTGCACGCCAGCTGACTGTACGCTTAACATTTAGATATGCACGCTCCCATTTAAATGTAGCAACAACTTGCGAAGTTATTTAATTACGATACGTGCAATTAGCTATATTAATAGTGCACAGCACAGTCGTTACGTGTTACATGTGTAGTGACTGTGAATGTCACTGTGTGGTGCCGGGCTTGCGAGGCCACGGCAGATAATGTGTAGCCCGCTTACTGGGCGTAGTACCAGCCCTAGCGGGGCTGGGGTGAGCGCTGGTTAGCGCGGGGCCACCATGTCCAGTGCGCGGTGCGGGCTCCCGGTGAGGGAGCGAGAGAGAGTGTCAGCCAGCCAGGGTTACGTTGGGGCATGATATGCTGGTTGACCTGCCGACACGTGACCGGATGATATTGGAGGGGGGCCACCGGTGAACGAGGGCCGCTGGGCGGTCACGTGGTCTAAAAGAGCTCTCGGGAGCCTTCGGGAAAGGGCCAGAGAGATCGAGAAGGTGGGCGGGGCGAGAGGCGGAGCCAGCCCCGTGTTGGGCTCGGGGTTCTTGACTGTTGGTGAGTGAAGATCCACGTCGGGTTGAAGAAGCCTCGAGCCACGCGGTCCGGGACCCAGCTCGTGGTGCGGACTGGGATAGCGGAACCGTGTCTAGTTCTGCCGTAGCGTGGTTAGATGGGCGTTCAACACCCGAGTGTAGGTTGTGTTACGTTGTGTGTTGAGTTGGTGTAATAAATAGTGTTGCTCCCAAGACAACGTCTGCGACTCAGTTGGACTCACTACACATGTAAAGAATGCCGATTGGAATAAATTTTGCGCAATTTAATGAACATTGAAAATTATCATAACGCAGTTGTGCAACTGTGATTTGATTTAACGTGCTGTTGAGCCGTGCAGTACAGGAAGTCCTCGTTTAACGCGGTAGGGAGTGGATGAGTTCATATTCACAACTTTGCCTTTTATACATATGGAGATACTTTGATACTGCCAAAAAAGGTCCCATGATTTAAAAAAAATACTGCATTCGCCCGCCCGACTATTGCGCCTTCGATCACGCTGTTTCCTGCCAATGGCCACGTAGCGTCTGTGGGCTTGGCACTGAGAAACCGCGAATGGTCACGGCAGAGCTGTCCAACTCGAAAGCTCTTCCCGAGTTCTTCCGTGGGTGCGTGCGTGCGCATGCATACGTACACATGGCAGAAGAGCGGTGTGGGCCATCGTCGTATATCGGCATCTAGAGAACGAACGGATGAGCGAGGTGAACGAATCAGAGAACGAGCGAACGAGAAAACGAACGAGCGATTGAGCGAGCGAACGAATGAGAAAACGAGCGAGCGAACGAATGAGAAATCTAACGAACGAAGGAGCGAATGAACGAGAAAACGAACTAGAGAATGAATGATAAAATTAACGAATGAGCGAACGAGTGAGAAAACGAAGGAATGAACGAGACAACGAACTAGAGAATGAATGAGAAAACAAACGAATGAGCGAACGAATGAGAAAACTAACGAATGAGCGAATGGACGAGAAAACGAAATAGAGAATGAGAAAACGAACGAATGAACGAACGAATGAGAAAACAAACGAATAAGCGAATGAATGAGGAAACTAACGAATGAGCGAATCAACGAGAAAACGAACGAGAGAATGAGAAAACGAACGAACGAACGAATGAGGAAACTAACGAACGAATGAGAAAACGAACGAATGAGCGAGTGAACGAGAAAACGAACGAGAGAATGAGCGACTGATGAGAAAACGAACGAGAGAATGAACAAACGAGCGAATGAATGAGAAAACAAGCGAGCGTAGGCATTAGAAAACTAACCAGCGAATGAGCGAGCGCTCGTTTTTTTAACGTCAATTTTTTTATTCCGCCGCCACCGCCTCCCTCTCCACCGCTCCCTCCCCTCTTCGTCTCCTCCTCCTCCGTTATCCGAGAAACGTCGAGCGAAGTGGTGGTGCGTTACGTGCTCACGTCGCTCGCTCCGTCGATGGGCGAAGAGACGAATCGAACGAGGCCTCGAAAAGTTCCTCCCGCGGTCGACGGCGCTGGTGTGTCGCAGCCGAGAAAATGTGGCCTCCTTTTTAAAGAGGATGCCAGGAAGTCGGCCGAGGGAGAGGAAGGGCTGTGCAGTTGCAAGTGATCATGCAAAGGGGAAGTGTCCCACAAATAACGAAACATATTCTTGGTTCTTTCGGTAAAGTCACGTAGAAGGAAATAATACAATAATAAAAATATAAAACAATAATTTGTATTTTATTATTTCCCTTCTACGTGACTTTACCGAAAGTACCAAGAATATGAAACCCTGCAGTCACGAAAGCTTTAAATAAAAAAAATAACGAAACGTAAAAAAAAAATTATTACAAACGTTTTAAAAATATATACATTTAAAAACTTCTCTAGATATATTTGTTAAAGTGTACTTTAGGGGGATGTTTTTTTCCTTCTGCTTTAAGCGACGTTGATCGCTTTTTGCGGAGAGAATTAAGCCTTGATTCTCACCTCTGTAATGCGTTATGACATTTTGTTGGGTCACGTGTTACAAAACTCAGTGGATTTTCCGCGTGAACCCAGGTGACCTTAGTTAATCACGGCTGAACATCAGTGACGGTCCTAAACCGCACCGACCCATGTAGTCAAAGGTTTTTAAACGCTGGTTATTCAATGTATACTGTCATCGCTATGCTCGTGAATAGAAAACGTGTATAATGTACTCTTAATACGGTAAATAGGGGCCGTCCATAAATGACGTCACGCGATTTTGGACGATTTTTGACCCCCCCCCCCCCCCCCCATCGTCACACGGCGTCACAAAAATTATCTCACTATTGATCTTAGCATTGGAGGTGAAGCGGAAGAGGGTGGCGCGCTCATTGACGGACTTCATCTTCTCGCTGCACCGGGGCGTGGCAGCTTCAGGGTTTCCAGGTCGTTGAGCGAGCGCTGGAGGGCGGCTCCGTGCTTGGCGATCAGGTGCTCAAATCCTCGAGCTTGGAGGACAGCGAGCGGAGCGTGGTCTGCAAGCTCCGTCTTGGCGGCCTGTGCGCCTGATTCCTCATCGTCCGAGTCATATGCTTGCAGCACGCATGTTAGAGCCAGCCCTCCTTCACCACCGTCACCTCCGCCATGTGCGAGTGCCCACACTTCACCCCACCACTGCACGTGACCTGTGTTGTGGCACGCCGCCGGAGGTAATCGTTGGGAGTTTTGTTATGCAAGTGCCAGCAGCATGCAGTCACGTGCGGTTCTTTCACACCCCCAAGTGATCAGTTTAACACGTAGCAGGCTTTCGCGACCAATATTATTCACAATCAACGTTTTTGGGTTAGATCGCGTTATTTATAAATGTCTCGTAACCCTCCACCACCCGACACGGCCAATCAGCAAAACAAGTGTCACGTTGACAAAAGACAAATAGTTCACTGCTTTAGCCCACCGGTGTGTGGAAGCGTGAAACCACAACATTTACAATTTCTGAGTACGACGTTTCGCTGGTAATTGCATCCAGCATCATCGGGCAATTCGCCAGAATGGTGATGCTCTGCTCTGGCTCCCGGTCTTAAATAGAGCAGCAGCAGGGTGACGTCATCATTTAACTCATGAGGTGCAACGATTTAAGGCAGAGGGGGGGGGGGGGTTATTGTAATTATATACTAGATTAGTAATCAAGCAATTGTTACGATGTGAGTTGTAGATTAGTTATCAGTTGTAATGTGTGTTATTTTAACTATATGCTACGTTAGTAATAAGTTAATTAGTGTTTGTTTCCCCTACAAGGAATTGTAATATGTGTAGAGGAGTAGTGGAGAGTGGTGGCGTCGTGTGCGCTGTCAGGTGCGGTGACCTCACGGGACGTGGGGTCGCACGCGCTGGGCAGTGCACGTGACATCACCCCTCCGAGGGTATATAAGGGAGACCCCGTAACGTAAGCGGGGTCACTGGAGGAACGGGGATAGTGGAAGGGGTAAAGAGGGAACCAGGGATAGTGATAAGTGTTAATAAACCCTGGCGGAAGCCCCTAACTCAACCTCCGTCTCCGAGTACCTCCGTCTACGATACAACAACTGGTGTCAGAAGTTTACACCGTCGCCAACATGTATAAAGCGGGCGCACGGCGTAGGAACCCACCGGCACATGACTTGGAGGGCGCCGAAGGCGGAGAGGAGGCTCCAGCAGTGACCCCGGAGCCCGGGACCCCGGTGACGGTTCCCGTGGAGACGAGCGGGCCGGAGCGGGAGGAGTCGGCTGCGGGGAGTGCCAGCTCACCGCCGCCGCCAGAGACGGAGAGCGTCCCCGCAGCTCTGCTGCAGCAGCTCCTGCAGGCGGTGGGGCAGCTGACCGCCAGGTTGGCCGAGGTGGAGGCGCGGACGCAGCCAACCGCCCCGCACGCGGGACGGGAGCAACTGTCAACTGCCAACGTTGAAAGCGCCGCAGTTTTCCCAGCGACCGCTCCACCGGAAATGGCCGCCATGTTGGCTGCGACGCAATCCGCGGCGGCCATGTTGGCTCGGGAGCCATATGCGGCCGCTGCTACGGCTGCCATGGCGACCGCGACGCCGCGTCTCTCCACCGACGCGGCCGGGATTTCTCGGCACGCCGCTCCTGCGAGACCAGCCGCCGGCGACGACGCGGCTCTACATCAAGCTGCACCCGCCGGGGGGGCCCCAGCGACCGCTCCACCGGAAATGGCCGCCATGTTGGCTGCGACGCAATCCGCGGCGGCCATGTTGGCTCGGGAGCCATATGCGGCCGCTGCTACGGCTGCCATGGCGACCGCGACGCCGCGTCTCTCCACCGACGCGGCCGGGATTTCTCGGCACGCCGCTCCTGCGAGACCAGCCGCCGGCGACGACGCGGCTCTACATCAAGCGGCGCCCGCCGGGGGGGCCCAGGGTAAGTACGCGCGTGCCGTCCTCGCCGGGCCGCCGGGGTGGGCAGCGGCGGCTGCTGCTGCCCCGTACATCGCTGTGCCGCCGGAATGGGCCGCGGGTGCTGCCGCGGCTCAACCTGTCGCTGCGCTCACGGGGCCGGACACCGGCGATGCCGCGGCTCTGCACCTCGCCGTGCCTGCGTCCCTTCTCATGGATGACGCCGCAGCTGCGTGTTATTCTGCCGCGTCTTCGGCGTGGCCCATGGAGGCTGCAACGCCGTGGCGCCTCGCCGCGTCGCGAGAGGTTGCCGCGGCTGCGGCCGCTGTCCCGCACCTCGCTGCGCCGGCGGGGAGGGCCGCGGGGGCCACCGCGGCTCCGTGTTTTACCGCCGCGTCTACGGCGTGGCCCGGGGAGGCCGCAACGCCGTGGTGCCTCGCCGCATCGCGAGAGGTTGCCGCGGCTGCGGCCGCTGTCCCGCACCTCGCTGCGCCGGCGGGGTGGGCCGCGGGGGCCGCTGCAGGCCCGAATTACACCGCCGCGTCTTCGGCGTGGCCCGTTGAGGCTGCAACGCCGTGGTCCCTCGCCGCGTCGCGGGACGACGCCGTGGCTTCGTACGCCGCCGCTGACCGGTGGGTCGCGAAAGCGCAGGCGCCTTCACACTTTGCTGCGTCTACGGCGTGGCCCATGGGGGCCGCAACTCAGCCACAATTCGCTGCGCCTACGGCGTGGCCCATGGGGGCCGCAACTCAGCCACAATTCGCTGCGCCTACGGCGTGGCCCAAGGGGGCCGCAACTCAGCCACAATTCGCTGCGCCTACGGAGTGGCCCATGGGGGCCGCAACTCAGCCACAATTCGCTGCGCCTACGGCGTGGCCCAAGGGGGCCGCAACTCAGCCACAATTCGCTGCGCCTACGGAGTGGCCCATGGGGGCCGCAACTCAGCCACAATTCGCTGCGCCTACGGCGTGGCCCATGGGGGCCGCAACTCAGCCACAATTCGCTGCGCCTACGGCGTGGCCCATGGGGGCCGCAACTCAGCCACAATTCGCTGCGCCTACGGCGTGGCCCATGGGGGCCGCAACTCAGCCACAATTCGCTGCGCCTACGGCGTGGCCCATGGGGGCCGCAGCACCACCGCACCTTTCCGCGTCTTCGGCGTGGCCCGCGGGAGCCGCAATGCTGCCACCGCCGCAACACGTCGCGTCCGCTGGGTGGCCCGCAGGTGCCGCTTGGCTTCCACACCTCGCGGCGCCGCGCGGCCAATGGCAGCGCAGGTTACCCGACGTTGCGCCGTTTGTCGCGCAAGGGGGCGACTGGTCGGCCTTCCAGGACCGGTTCGACGCGGCATACATGTCGGTCGGCTGGTCCATGGAGGAGGCCTTGCCGGCGCTTCCGACCTGCTTGGACGAAAGGGCTCTGCAGGCCTTCAAGTCCATCCATCCGGCCAATCGGGCTACACTCCCGGCGGCCTATATCCAAATGGCCAACGTTTTTGAGCCGCCGTCCACCGCGCAGCTAAAGTTTTCATTGCGGCGGCGGGAGGAGGGGGAACTGCCGCTGGCCTTCCGCTGCTCGCTCCTGGCCCTGGCGCAGGCTGCATACCCTGACCTGTACGGCAGGGCACTTGATTCTATGGCCTTGGGGAAGCTGCTTGACCTGGCAAGGGAGCTAGGAATTGCTCTGTCGATCAACAATGATCGGCAGATCACATCCTTGGCGGTCGCAGAAAACATTCAGGCGCACCTCTCCCTCCGCCAACGGCCTCAGATGGCGGCGTGTGCGGGGATCCTGGCGCCGGACGGGGGGGACACCCTCGCGGCCCTGGCGATGCCCGATCGTCGAGGAAGGGGGACGGGTGGTCGCCGTCCGGAGCAGCGGGGGCGGCCGGGACCTTCCCGTCCACAGGAGGCGGACACGGTGGCCTGCTTCCGCTGTGGTCAGCGGGGCCACATTGAGCGGGGCTGCCGGAATGCCCCGGGGGCCTTTGGAAAAGGGACTCCACCTTCTCCCAGACCCTCCTTGGCATCGGGTTCGGGGCCCCAGGCGAGTCGCGACGCATCATCTGCGCGGCCGCTCCCTTCACCTCATGCATCTAGCGGGGCTAGGGCCCATCGTCATGGGGTTGTCCTCGAAGGGTCGGGTGCACCATCGTCATCACCCCCTCAATGGCCCAGACAGACCCGCCACTGGGATGCGCTTGCGCATAG